TATCTTCTACTACATGCAAAAATATAGTCCTCAATAATTTATATTTAGTCATTCTGAGTGCCACATCTAGCTCTAAGGTTTTTTCCATACAAATAAATACTGATTTAGTCAAGGTCTCAATATTCTCCACAGATGGATTCTGCAAAATTTCTTTCACTACCTTCTCCATTTTCCCAAGTCATCAATAAGGAACTTTCTTCAAAAAATATTAGGATCACTAAGCTAAGAATATACTAGACTAGCATGACCTCAAACAAGATAATGAATACTTATCTCTATCGTGTAGCATTGCAAGTACAATATTCGAAAGTATCCGTAACTCAGTTCACGTAGGACTGCAAGCTGAATCGTATGATGAGACTCAAATTCTCAAAACGTCTTCAATAAATATGATACCGGCATTCACTTCTAGAAAATAAATATTGATCAGTCTAACCGTGTCAAAACTTAATCCTGAACAATAGGATTACATTAATAATGGTCCTGAACAATAGAATTACATTAATAATGGTCCTGAACAATTGAATTACATTAATAATGGGCCTGAACAACAGGATTTACTTGTTTAAGCTCGTAAATGAAATCCTGAAGGAGATTCGGAATGAGTTCCTGATATCCTATAATCCTGAAATTCAATGATCCTATATCCCGAACAGGACCCTATTTTACTTATGTCATGACCTCATGATCCACAGCATCGTTGGCAAACCATAGCGTGGCAGAGTTTCAATATGTGTCTAGGGTAAAGTGAAAAAGTCTGGTTAAAACAATGCCAGTTTACTGGGACATATAAACAGGTCACGATAAAACAATGAAAACTACATTCTCTATATACAACTGATATACATCTAGTATACAACTGATACTCTAATCAGAACAAGGAGCTTAAACACAGCGATCACAATCAGTAACAGGCATTAACTGCACCTACTTGGGATTTGCTGACACCAGGCTCCAACCTGACACAGTGGTACATTAACCCAAGTAACAGATTGGTGGTGTCATACATAAATAAGTAGTGGGTGAGGAATCCATTAAATACTAAAACACAATAACAATCATCTACGATCCTCAGATACCCATTTCAACACAAAATCACCTACCACCTGATATAACCAATATATCTCAGTAGCCTGATCCACTATACGAATAGTCTTACTCTTATATATACATGAGTATTCAGAAACCAACAATATATAACACAACTTAAGAGCTGGACGTCTCACATCCACCTATCAGGCAAATCAGTAAGGTAGTGACTTGCCAAGGGTCGAATCAGCAGAGAACAACTTTGTTACCAACATGGCAAGTCACCCCAAACTTTCTTCCTTTACATATCAGAAGCTCAAAACCCAAATATTCAAGTCTAATTCATACACTACCTAAATACATACACTATACAATATTCTCCACATGAGAGTACATATCACAACTTAAGGTAGACAAGAATATATCATGCTATATGCTAAAATGCATAAGGAGTCAAGTCTAGCATACATAGCAATACTGCTGGAGACGGTTCTCCAAGGGGTCAACGGGGGAGGGGGAGAATATTGGAGGATTTCCAGCAGTTACCGGTCGATCGATTGTTCAAGACTTAGATCATAGTATATTCCCTAGTAATACCTCAAATATATATATAAATCTACATAATATATATACTATATTATATTACCTCTAGCATGTCCGATACAACATTTCAATATTTAGACACATAATTGTAGCTGTATGAAACGACCATAAGCTTCTGTTATGCACTAGCGTATTCCCAAAAAGAGATTACAAATATAAGAGTAATGGTAATATTTGGCTAATCACCTAATAATTTACTATATAGTTTGACCGCATCATACAAATACACAATATAATCATACTGGTGTATGTGTGGTCATAACAGGCCTTCTGGTTAATAATACAAATGTCAGAATCATGCTAATTTAAATGCCAGGTTCATATACTGAACCTGGCTGTATAATTGCCAGGTTCAATGTAATATAATTACCATATTTAGGCTAATTTTCAGATTCATAAGTTTCACAACTGCCAGACTCAGGATAATATGATTTAGAGTTTCAGGCTAATATGATTGCCAGTCAGGATAACATGCTTCCCAGTCAGGCTGAAATAATTGCCAGTCAGGCTGAAATAATTGCCAGTCAGGCTGAAATAATTGCTAATAAATAATTGCTAGTCGGGCTAAAACAATTGCCGGTCAGGCTAAAACAATTGCCAGTCAGGCTAAAACAGTTGCCAGTCAGGCTAAAACAGTTGCCAGTCAGGCTAAAATAATTGTCAGTCAGGCTAATATAACTAGGGGCATGAAAATGAAAAGTGTACTGAATGCTAACTGAGAATACCACTTAGACAAGTTGGTCAAGGGGCCCCTGGGAAATTAGTTCCCACAACTCAAAATTAAGTCGGTTCTACAGGAAATGACTTCCTAACTCTAGTAAACTGAGGCAGGTCAGACCGCGTGACCGGGAACCACGTACTTGGTTGACCCGAACGTGTACCAACAAATATCGTTAGTCGACGACACCATAGTATGTCGACTCATTTTTTTATGAAATTTACATCATAACTCAAAATTATCGTAAGTTGGGGCAATCGTAAGTCGAGGTGCCACTGAACTGTAAAAAACTGTAAAATTGCCACTCAGACAAATATATTTGCTACTCGGGCAAATATATTTGCCATTCAGGCAAATATAGCCTAATAAAAATTAAATATAAAAAATACAGTATAATTTTCAGACTGGAACAGTTATAGTAGCCAGAGACTGTTTACTATAAATCCTGAAGATTAGTAAAAATTCAAATGGGCCAAAACAAAAAAATTAACATCAGTTTATGTAGCATTCTGCATGATGAGCTATGAATACCTGTATTAAAACTAACTTAATTTATATGTTTCCTACCAATAATGGTCTCCTCTTGAGCGCATTTCAAGCTTTTCTGCACCAACTCCTATTTTAAATAATATTACAACAAAATCTCAATAATTTAACCACTTGTTTCCTGTCTCAACCACTAAGGAGACAGTGGTCCTCATATAAATTATATTTTAAATAAATTTCTACATATGTCAAGAATAGAATGCATATTTTTATTCAAACAAATATGCAGATAACATATTTAAAACATTCCTTTACTTTTATACATAGATAAAAATGTATAAATATTTTGTAAACAATGAATACATTATATATGAATAATTTCACCCAGCTGTGAAAGGGTATCTGGTTGTTACACAATTTAGTAAGTTGTATTCCAAGAGAAATTTGCCCGAAAAGCTATACATGCTAGTTGCTTTACATGAATGTAAGAACTCGTGTATATAAATACTAAAAAAAAAAAAAACCTTTTGATCTTTACATTTCATGGTGAAGTGTATTTCTCAAACAAAATATAACATAATTACCTCTGTAGGACATCCACCTGACATGGTGATAGCACAATATTCCCATGATAAACCTCAATTTCCAAATTTGTATGTTAAATTAATTTAAGGTAAGTTAGAGTTAATATGTACCTCTTTGTAAGTCAGCATTCTCTGACTTCTCTCACACACTCAAAGTGTTTACCTTATCACCTGAATGTTTCATCTTGTGTCTCTTCAAACTTCTAAGATAACTAAATTTCTTCCCACACTCTGGACATTTGTAAGGTTGATCACCTGAATGCATAAACATGTGTATCTTCAAATGTCTATTACGTCTAAATCTCTTCGGACACTCTGGACACTGGTGAGGTTTGATGCCTAAATGCACTAACAAATGGTCCTTCATATGTCCAAGATGATTGAATTTCTTCCCACACTCTGGACACTCATGAGATCGATCAACTGAATGCACTAACATGTGCTGTATTATAGCTTCGCGGTTCCTAAAATTTTTGCCACACTCGGTACACTCAAAAGGTCTTTCATCTGTATGCATCATCCTGTGCTTTTTCAAACTTCGAAGCTTACATAATTTCTTTCCACACTCAGGACACTCGTGAGGTCGATCACCCGAATGCACTAAGAGGTGAGACTTCATATTTCCAGGTTTACTGAATCTCATCCCACACTTTGGACATGCATGAGGTCGATCACCCGAATGCAGTAGCATGTGCCGTATTATAGCTTCAGATTCCTTAAATTTTCTGCCACACTTGTTGCACTCAAAAGGTCTTTCTTCTGTGTGCATGATCCTGTGCTTTTTCATACTGCCAAGCTGACTGAATCTCTTCCCACACTCAGGACACTCGTGAGGTCGTTCACCCGAATGCACTAACAGGTGAGCCTTCAAATTTCCTAGAATCTTGAATCTCTTCCCACACTCTGGACATTCATGAGGACGATTATCCGAATGGACTACCATATGTTGTATTATTGCACCACGTTCTATAAATTTCCTTCCACACTCAGTACACTCATAAGGGCTTTTATCTATATTCACCATCCTGTCTCTCATATGTTCAGGCTGACTGAATCTCTTCTTACTCTCTCGACCATCCTGAGGTTCATCACCCAAATTCACTAACATGCCAGTGTTGATATTGTATAGGCATTTGGCTCCCTTCCCACATTTTGGACACTTATAAATTTTCATCTTTATGAGTGGTGCAGTTTTTGTGAACTTTTTCTTTCCTGGATGACAGCCCAAGTGGTGATGTTTGCAGAAGCGTTTTGAGAAGCTTGAATGTTGATGGTTAGGCAAGGCTTGAGTGTTGTTTCAAGAGTTATACTTAATGTGAGCACTTGGCAGTCTATGGTGATGCTTCTTCTTTATCATAGGTGCTGTTTATGGTAAGGTTTCCCTTAATACAGTCGTATAGAAACTAACCGACCGTGATGATATCCGTAGAGGGGACTGGTCAAGTCGTATACTGCAATTTCGGATACCGGGCTAGAAACAACTTCGTTCACTGAGAAGTTTGTACATACAAACCATTCCGTTCGTATATGCGCTGGTTTGTGTTCGCTGTTGTTCTCGTCTGAATAAATATATGGCACTTGTTCATATAATTAGCTCTTCCATTATTAGAATTATTTATCCATTATTAGAATAACAAGGTGCAAACCATACCCCCTTACAGTTGAAATCTATTTATTTATATACAAGAAGGTACATTGGGTTGCGAGAGTACATAACATATATTAAGAGGTACATTGTAGCAAGATTTGAGATTAAAGGATTTAAGACTAACACGTTTAGAAACAGGGCGCCCCAGAAGGAGGCTAATATTTGTTATGCCCCATACTCAACCAGTAAGTAGTGGAGCAAAACATAGATTACATGGTCATAAAGTCTTAATCAGACCAATTCAATTCAATTTCTTTCTTTATTATGCACCCCATACCCATCCCGTGGGCGGTGGTGTAAAGGATTACAGAGGCACATAATCGGTTCAGGAACTGAACCCTCTAGTTCGTTTAGCTAAGCAAATAACAATTTGTGACGCTAGTTACAAAATTATTAATATTATATATACATGTACACACTCTCATACATACATACATGTACATATATATATACGTATACATATATACATACACATACATATCTAATCACCTACACAAATACACACATCAATAATCTTTGTGTCACAAGTGATCAACAAGAGGCTCACAACAGTCACTATACAAGGCACTTTACATCTATGGTGAATCACACAGTAATTACTAGTCTTGCTGCACACCCACCCAACTGGGCGGCAGCTTTACAGTCATGTGCATGCATTACCTACAGTAAGCAAATTTTGGATACTTCGCTAAGATTTCGAGCAGCACATCATTATGAATGAAGTACTTACACATTTCTTGGACACTATTGATGGTGTTATCTCTAAATTCCGCGATTTTTTCATATTCCATTATATAATGACGCAAAGTATGCGAATAGTTCTGCTGACAGAGTTTACATTTAGTCAAATCTACATCAGCAGATGTTACAAACTCCCAGAGGTACTTGTAGCCGAGCCTAAGCCTAGCAGTGGTAACATCTAGAAGTCTGCTAACATTATTGGATGACCCATAGACGTGCGGTTCTTTTTGCATAATAGAATGATGATAGATGGAGTAACTGGTGTGAATTTAACTTTGCCTCAAGTCTCCGAAATTTAGTTGATGTTCCTGGGATATTGCTGCCCTCAGGCTGCTGAAAGGCAGTCCAAGTTGGTAATCAATTTCCTCTTTACGAGCAAAAGTCTTGGCCAACTCATCAGTTCTCAGTGGCTATTTTTACATTATTATTTACAACTAACTTAAGTTAAATAACAAACAGTAAACAGACTGCTGTTTTCTAATTCTAGTTCAGGCACTTCCTGGGATAAAACGCGAACATTCCTTGAGGAACTGTGAGGTGCTTATCTGTTTTTCCTCGTAACGGTCCCAAAGCTTCCACAAACGTTCATGTTTCTCTTTATTGCCCTTGCGGCGACTAGACTTTAGCTTTTGATCAGAAACCAGTTGGTATTGCAAGGTTACCAGGGACGCCTCACGGTACAGTAAGGGGATTAAAATATATAAAGCCAAGTTGTTCCTCACTGCCCTTTGATTCAGACGCTGGTGCCATCCTTCTACGTCATTGTTGGTCCTCACCAGTCGTCTAAATGCACACCAGTTCCCCAATTCCCACACACTGTTGCACAGCCACGTATTTTTTTATGTAATGAGTTAATTGTGTCGTTAAGGGTGAACTGCTAGCCGACTTTTTTAATTCAGCAAACGCCTTACAATTATGTAGTACATACGTACCACATAAGTACGTGTGTGTTACACACGTACACACACACCTTGTCAAGCACAAGACGAAGCTTGAAAAAGTTTAGTGGTATGCCAATAGGCTAGTCCCAGGACTAAGAGGCATGAGTTACGAGGACAGGCTGCGAGAAATGCACCTCATGACACTGGAAGACAGAAGAGTAAGGGGAGACATGATCACTACCTACAAAATTCTCAGAGCAATTGATAGGGTACATAAAGATAAACTGTTTAACACGGGTGGTAGGCGAACAAGGGGACACAGGTGGAAACTTAGTACCCAAATGAGCCACTGGGATGTTAGAAAGAAATTTTTCAGTGTCAGAGTAGTTAATAGATGGAATGCATTCGGCAGTGATGTGGTGGAGGCTGACTCCATACACAGTTTCAAATGCAGATATGATAGAGCCCAGTAGGCTCGGGAATCTGTACATCAGTTGATTGCCAGTTGAGAGGTGGGACCAAAGAGCCAGAGCTCAACCCCCGCAACCACAACTAGGTGAATATACACACAAACGCACACACACACACACGTACACACACACACACAGTACCCCATTAAAAGGTTGATGCATAAGCTGGAGAAACAGGCAGGAGTAACTGGTAGGGCGCTCCAGTGGATAAGGGAGTACCTAAGCAATAGGAAGCAGAGAGTTACAGTGAGGGGTGAGACCTCAGAATGGCGTGAAGTCACCAGTGGAGTCCCACAGGGCTCTGTACTTGGACCTATCCTGTTTCTGATATACGTAAATGATCTCCCAGAGGGTATAGACTCATTCCTCTTAATGTTTGCTGACGACGCCAAAATTATGAGAAGGATTAAGACAGAGGAGGACAGCTTGAGGCTTCAAGAAGACCTGGACAAGCTGTAGGAATGGTCGAACAAATGGCTGTTAGAGTTTAACCCCAAGCAAATGTAATGTAATGAAGATAGGGGTAGGAAGCAGGAGACCAGACACAAGGTATCACTTGGGAGATGAAATACTTCAAGAGTCAGAGAGAGAGAAAGACCTGGGGGTTGATATCACGCCAGACCTGTCCCCTGAAGCTCATATCAAGAGGATAACATCAGCAGCATATGCCAGGTTGGCTAACATAAGAACGGCCTTTAGAAACTTGTGTAAGGAATCTTTCAGAACATTATATACCACATATGTCAGACCAATCCTGGAGTATGCGGCTCCAGCATGGAGTCCATATCTAGTCAAGCATAAGACTAAACTGGAAAAGGTTCAAAGGTTTGCCACCAGACTAGTACCCGAGCTGAGAGGTATGAGCTACGAGGAGAGACTACGGGAATTGAACCTCACTTCGTTGGAAGACAGAAGAGTTAGGGGGGACATGATCACCACATTTAAGATTCTCAAGGGAATCGACAGGATTGATGAAGACAGGCTATTTAACACAAGGGGCACACGCACTAGGGAACACAGGTGGAAACTGAGTGGCCAAATGAGCCACAGAGATATTAGAAAGAACTTTTTTAGTGTCAGAGTGGTTGAGAAATGGAATGCATTAGGAAGTAATGTGGTGGAGGCTGACTCCTTACACAGTTTCAAGTGTAGATATGATAGAGCCCAATAGGCTCAGGAACCTGTACACCTGTTGATTGACGGTTGAGAGGCGGGACCAAAGAGCCAAAGCTCAACCCCCGCAAGCACAACTAGGTGAGTACACAGACACAAAGATACACACACTAATGCCTCTATTCACCTTGCAGTAAATAGGAACCTGTGTTAGATAAAAATATATGTTGTTTAGATATGATGGAGGAAAAGAGGCCGAGAGTCGGTACATTAGACAACCGACGCTTAGAAAGGCGGGGTCCAAGAGCTAACAGCTAAATCTTGGAAATAATAAATTAAAATATTTAATACACACACATACATGTTTCACATGAATTTGGCTGAGGGCACACTGAGGGCTGATGGCCCCGTCGACGGGGCAGGAAGTCGGCGGTTGATCAAATGCCTCCCACATCCTCCACATACCTGAGGATTATTCCGGCTTAATTTTAAACGGAAGTAATGTCTTGGCATTTACGGCTTCAGCGGGTGGGTGGGTCCGTGGGTTTATTACACTATGAGTGAAAACAATCGCCTATTCTCTATTTTATATTGCCGCTTGTAGAGCTAGAAGCTGTTGCCTCTTGTGTGCGTTGTACAAGCTAGGGGATTAATATCTGGATTAATATCTTTCAATATTTCCAGTATTTTTTAAGGTATGGCTTAAATACCGAAGATACTGCTATTGGACACCGCTTAATTGACAATGTCTCAACAACGCAGGCTGAAGATGTGCGTGGCTCCTGCTACTGCATTGATGCTCATTTGCTTTTCAATGATGCGCCTTAGTTGTTCCCTCTCTAACTTACCGTTCTAAATACCCCTTCTCCATCTCTCGCAAACATTCCCCCCTCATACATCTTCCCCCTTTCCTTCTGTCCCCCTGTCCATCTTT